ACAAACCATTGTCTAAAACGATCTTGTTCGGAACCCCATACCGGCAAATAATGTAGTTTCTGATACACTTGGCCACATGTGACACCTTCAACACAGAGTAAGATTGAGCTTCCACCCACTTAGTAAAATAATCAATCGCCACCAAGATGAACTCATGTCCATTTGAACGTTTTGGCGAGACTGCGCCGAAAACGTCGATTCCCCAGACTGAGAAAGGCCACGGTGAAGTCATATTATAGAGCTTCGACGGCGGGATATTCATGCGATTGGCATGGATTTGACACTTATGGCATCACCGAACGAAACTAATACAATCCTCTTCCATAGTTGACCAATAATAGCCTCGTCTGAGAATCTTCTTGGCCAGCATCACACCATTCATATGTACTCCACACTCTCCTCCGTGGATGGCCTCCATGAGATGCTTCGACTCTTCTTTCTCAACACAGAGCTTGTGGATGGCCTCTCTTGTACAGCTTATCTCCACAAATGATGAACTAGACGACCAAACGCCGCATTCCCCGTTTCTCTTTAGTATTTGCCCTTGGTTGATACATATCTTTTTCCAGAAAATTCCAAATGTCGTAATACTAGGAGTTTTTGTCTTGAACCTCATCTATTGTAGCAACGATCTCATAAGCTGGTGTATATTTCTGTTTGATGATAATCGGACGCATCTTGACTCCAAGCGGGATGTCTACCATGGAAGATAGATTTGCCAGTGCGTTAGCGAACCGGTTATTCTCTCTTAGTAGATGTGTGAACGTCAGTTTTTCAAATCTTGGATTCAGAATATCCAGGGTCTGATGATAAACCTTCATTTTCTCTTCCTTGACTTTTCAGTCTCCATTAGCTTGAGAAACAACCAAGTCCGAGCCTCTAATGACATCCAACCTTATTGGCCCTAGTTCTAGAGTAGCTTCCAAACCAGCAATACACGCCTTGTATTCTGCCTCGTTGTTGGACACTTTGAACCTGAGTTTGAAAGCTAAGGGTATATGGGACTCATCGGGTGCTATGAGCAACACACCTATCCCATAACCATATTAATTAGACACTCCGTCAAAGTACATTGTCCATGTTTCCACTTCCACCTGCAGAATGTCTTCATTCGGGAACACGTACTCCACTGTTTTATCTCCTTCCACTGGGTGGTTCTCCAAGAATTCCACTACCACTCTCCCTTTAACTAATTTGCGTGTGACATACTTAAGGTCAAATTTGGAAAGAAAAAGCAACCAACAAGCTAACCTATCCGTAAGTGCCGGTTTCTCAAAGAGATATTTGATGGGATCTAATCTTGAAACCAGAATTACTGAGTGAGCTAACATGTAGTGTCTCAACTTCCTTGCTATCCATACTAATGCTAAACAAGCTTTCTCTCGGGGAGTGTAACGGGTCTTATAATCCAACATCTTCTTGCTCAAATAGTAAATGGCCTTCTGTACTTTATCTTTAGACTCTTGAGCCAGCATGCACCCCATGGTCGAATCTATTATCGACAAATACAAAAATAGAGGCTTTCCCGGCTCTGACGGCAACAACATAAGCGAATTCTGGAGGTACTGCTTGACCTGCCCAAAGGCAAACTGACATGGATCATCCCATCGAAACTTCTTTCATTTCTTCAATAGACCAAACAGTGCTCCACAAGTCATGGTTAATTTTAAAATAAACCGTCTTACGAATTGCACTTTCTTCAGAAAGTCGCACACCTCTTTTTCAGTCCTCAGTGGTGGCATTTCTAAGATGACCTTGATTTTGAAAGGATCTACTTCAATTCCTTTCTGTGTGATCAGAAATCCTAGCATTTTTCCTGCGGTCACCCCAAAAGTGCATTTTTGTAGGTTCAACCTCAATCGGTACTCCCTGATCTGTTGGAAGCATTTTTTCAGCGCAGTGTAGTTGCCTTCTCATTTTTGGACTTGACAATCATGTCGTCCACATACACCTCAACTTCTCTTTGGATCATATTGTGCAAGATCGTCGTCGCGACCCTCTAATATGTAGCCAGCATTCTTCAACCAAAAAGGTATAACCTGGTAGTAGTAGGTACCCCATGGTGTGGTGAATGCAGTTTTCTCCCTGTCCTCTAGTGCCATCAAATTTGGTTATACCCAGAGAACCCATCCATAAACGAAAGCAAGGCATGGCTAGCAGTAAAATCCACCAATTCATCAATGTGCGGTAACGGGAAGTCGTCTTTCGGGCTATCTCTATAACAAACCTGACACATGATTAACGTATACATTATGATTAATTATGCCTAATAAGAAATTAAGTTAAAATCCCAAGTTAATTACATGTGCATTGCATTGTTTGTATTTCTATCTATCTATTGTAGAAAGATTTGTTCATGTTTATGTTTTTTCCTGTGAATCGAAGGCCTTATCGGCATCCGATTACAAAATTGACTTCAGTTATGTGTTATTTGGAATATTTAGAATTTTTTGATAGGTTTAATTAAAATTTGATTCGGAGCGATTAAGTTAGATTAATTAATGTTCTTTTGTTTAGCTACAATTAGCTACCACTAATGAAGCCTATATAAGGCTCCTTATGTGCCCCCACTCATTCCTTCTTCCTCATTTCAACACATCTTTCAGCTTATACACATACCAAATGTGAGAGAGAGGGAGAGTGAGAAGAGGTTGTGCTCAAGCTTGAGTTGGGAGAAGATTAAAGAGAAATCAAAGGGATTGAACTCATATTCTTGAATAGGTAAGAATTCAACTCATTTATGTAACCTTGAACTCATTTTCTTGGAGAATCAAAGAGAATTAAGTTGTGTCAATTGAGAATTGAACTAGAAGTGTAGAAATTGAGCCATACCATGCATGCATACACTTTCATCACATTTTTGAGTTGGAATTTCAATCAAATTTCACGTGCATGTGTCTATCATGACTTGGTTTTGAGAATTCATCACATTTCTTACCATTTGACCTTAATAGATCATGTTTTGGAAAGTCTAAGGTCATAGTAATTCATGCATGTCATATTCATTGCATATTCATAAGTTTCAAGTTGACTTTTGAACAATTGACATGCTGTTGGGCCTACAATTGGGCCTTGATTTTACGAAATGATTTTGAATTCAAGATATTTTTCAAGTTTTTACGAAATGATTTTGAATTCAAGATGTTTTCTAAGTTTAGACTTGTTTTCTCAAGTTTTGGGGCCTAAATGTTGAGTTTGAAGGCATTGAATTCGAGTTTTGGACTTGGGAGTACAATCTGGGAATTCCAGAATTTACACCCTCCGCTCGAGCGACAGATCCTGCGCTCAAGCGACCACTCTGTGGTCTTGCACTTCTGCTCGAGCAACCAGAAGTCCGCTAGAGTGTGAAATGCAAGCTCCCAGAAGTTTCATGTTTTTGCAGACTGCTCAAGCGACAAAAAGTGCGCTCGAACGAAGACCTCAGTCTCACACTTGAGCGACCGTCCAGCGGAGAATTCACACAACCAGTACTTTTGCAGACCACTCAAGTGACAAAAGTTGCCCTCGAGTGGGACCCCTATTTCTAGCATTTTTGACCAAGTGTTTACAAATGCCTTTTGATATCCGCATTGCATCCTGGGCATTCCTAAGCCAATATTAAGACATAATATGAAGGATAAAGGCTAGAAACACACTAAGAATGAAACGAAATAAGTTTAGTAGGACCTGAGCGTGTGTTTCAAAATGTGTATTTGTTACGTTTGTGTAGGTCACACACCATGAACTGTTGATACATTGGTTGCCATCAAAGTTACCTGTGCAATAATATGTGAGTAATAACTCTGTAAAGTTATGTTTGATTTTAATTATTTTCTGATGATATGACATGATCAATTTTATGAAATGTTATGTTTTATATGAATGAATGATTGTTCAAGTTTTTGAAATGTATTCGTGGCATCCTTAGCATCATATGATATGCGTCCCTTTATGGGTCATCGGAATGCCGTTATGGCCATCCCTTTATGGGTCATCGGAAACGTCTCTGTGCACATGAGTCATCAGAATGCCTCTATGGCCGTCCCTTTATGGGTCATCGGAAACGTCTCTATGTACATGAGTCATGGGAATGCCTTATGGCTGTCCCTCTATGGGTCATCGGAATGCCTTCACGGCCATCCCTTCATGGGTCATCGGATTTGTTATCGCTAATGGATGTGCCACGTACCACGATGTGAAATATACGATCTTTGAATACGAATACAACTACGCATATGAAACTGTTTCTGCTTTGACATCTGATCATGTACAAGACTTTGTTTCTGTATGGACATCATTTTGTAAAATCTTTACTTTGTTGTTATACACTAGGCTTCCGCTCACTATTTGTATTATGTATGTAGATGAGCAGACGCGTGACCAAGCCTAAGCTGTTGCCTAGAAAGTTTGGGTCAAATAGCCATTGTGCCTCCCGTGGAGGTTTCCTTTTTGAGATCCGATCAGGTTTCTGAGAAACAAGCCTTTGGGGCTCTTGTACTTTCTGATATTTATAGTTTTTCTGAACATGTTTTTTGGAAATTCTATAAATGTGGCTTTGGTGACATATGATTAATGTATTTATATAACGTCACTCTTATGTATCGAAGTTTTAAACTTTTGTTCCATGTATGTCTACATAGCTCTATGGACTATGAATATTTCTATATTTACTTCCGCAACCCTTTATCATATGATATTCAGGTCAGAGGCCTTTTGTAATCCCAGGATTACTGGCCAGTTACGACACTAAACCTATAGGGGTGGGTTTGGGTCGTGACAGAGTGGTATCAAAGCACGAGTTATACCACACACACGAGTCCATATGAGCTATAGGATGTCCTAGCAAATAATTTGGGATATTTCATCTGCATGTGTGAGTGTGTTAATTTCTGTGAATGCGAAAACTGACACTGAATATGAACATATGAAGTAGAAAAGCATGAACTGAAACTGGATACTCCAAGCATAGTGAAAAGAATTATTGCCCTATGTTTATTATTGTTTTGTTTATCTATAGCAACATGGAGAATGCAAGGGGAAATGATACAAGTGAATCTTTTGAGGCGCGAATGAACAGAATGGAACAGATGCTTACAGCCCTGACTGAGGCAATGACGCAAAAACTGAGGCAACAACCTTTACCTCCTCCGCCTTTGCCGGTACAAGTTGAACCAGATAACAATGACATTATCAGCTTGACCAAGAAGTTCATGAAAATGAAACCATCAACTTTCTTAGGTGGTATTGAGCCGTTGAAGGCAGAAACATGGCTGCTTGAGATGGAAAAATTATATGAGATCTTTCCCTGCTCTGAGACTCAAAAGGTTCTTTTGGCTACCTATACCTTAAAAGATGAAGCCCGTAGATGGTGGTTGTTAATCCAAAGTGGTAATAGGAATATGACATGGGTTCATTTCAATGAGATCTTTTATGACAAGAACTTTCCCCAATGCTGCAGGGATCGAAAAATGTCAGAATTTCAAGAACTTAAGCAAGGCAGGATGTCAGTGGCCAAATATGAGGCCAAGTTTACTGAATTAGCTCGTTTTTCCCCACAAGTGGTGGACACAGATTATAAGAAAGCTCGAAAGTTTAAAGGAGGACTACATTCAGATGTGTTTGATTGGGTAGATGTTTTAAAGCTACCCACATATGTGGATGTACTTGATAGAACCCTCATGGCTAAAGCCAACTTAGCCGCAAAGAACAGACTAACGCTCTGACAATTGAATGAAGGGGTAAGAGATCGAGATCTAATTTTAAAAGGGGTCGGTCATTCTCAAAAAAGAAAAATATGGGATCTTATAGTAGCTCAAGCCAAAGTAGTAGATCTGCACCGACTTGTCCAAAATGTGGTAGGAAACATAAGGGGGTTTGTTATCGAGCATCGGGTGCTTGTTTTAAGTGTGGTAAAACCGGCCACATGATGAGAGATTGTCCTATCAGGCTCGAAAATACCAACTGTCCAGCAACAAGTTCAGCCGGATTCGCTTCTGCATTAAGAATGAATACGAAAGCTAACACCAAGAAGGAAACCTTAAGGCAAGGTAAAGTATTTGCACCTGTGCCTGGTGATGTGCAGAACACCGAATCCATGGTGTCAGGTATAATCTCTATCTGTGCTCAGAATGTTTATGTGTTGATCAACTCTGGTTCCACACATTCATTTGTATCACATGCTTTTTCTCGAAAGTTAACTAGACCATTAGAACCTATGAACTATGTATTGTCTGTGTCCACCCCATCTGGAGGTTCCATGATATGTGCTTATGTATATCCAACATGTGATATTATGATTGGTGATATGGCATTTTACGTTGATTTGTTGCCTTTGAGCATTGATCATTTTGATTGTATTCTGGGTATGGATTGATTAACAAAATACTATGCCACCATCGATTGTGTAAGTAAATCTGTCGTGTTTGGACCACCTGACATGCCTAAGTTTGTTTTCACTGGAAATGGGGTAGTTCTCGCCATATTTGATTTCATTTATGAAGACCAAGAAGTTGTTGAGGAAAGGGTGTCGGGGTTACTTATGTTGCATTTTGACCGTGACTTTTGATAACTCTACTATTGAGGACATCTTTGTAGTAAATGAATTTCCTGATTTATTTCCTAATGATCTACCTGGGGAGTTAATTGATAGGAAAATTGAATTCACTATTGATGTAATACCCGGGACACAACCAATTTCTAAGACCCCTTATGGAATGTCAACTTCTGAATTGAAAGAGTTGAAAGTCCAGCTCCAAGAACTCTTAGACAAGAAATTCATCCATCCGAGCACCTCACCTTGGGGAGCTCTAGTGTTGTTTGTCAAGAAGAAAGATGGGTCTTTGAGGCTATGTATTGACTACCGTGAGTTGAACAAGGTAACTGTTAAGAACAAATATCCATTGCCCCAAATAGACGACTTGTTAGACCAACTGTAGGGAGCACAAGTGTTCTCTAAGATAGACCTTAGGTCTAGGTATCACCAATTAAAAGTTAAGACATAAGATATAGAAAAGACAGAATTCAAAACCAGATATGGACACTATGAATTTTTAGTAATGCCGTTTGGAGTGACTAATGCACCTGCTGCCTTCATGAACCGTATGAACAGGGTGTTTAAATCATATCTAGATAAATTTGTTATCGTATTTATTAATGACATCTTGATTTACTCCAAAAGCAGGGAAGAGCATGAGAACCATTTGTGAACTGCTTTACATATTTTGAGAGAAAAGAAGTTGTATGCAAAATTGTCCAAATGTGAATTCTGGCTTGACAACGTAGCATTTTTGGGACATGTAATCAACAAGGATGGTATCTCTGTTGACCCTCAGAAAATTGAAGCCATTGCTAGCCAAGACCAGCTAATGTGTCAGAAGTAAGATGTTTTCAGTAGGGGTGAGCAGCAGATATACCGATCCGCCAAAACCAACCGAACCGAACCGAACCGATCCTTCGCATTTTGGACGGATGCGTGATGACGAGCGGACGGTTGCGGATTGATTTTCTCTAATCCGCCAATTTGGCGGACGGATGGCGGATTTGAGGTTCCTTTGGCCGCAACCGAACCGCCAAACTGCGAGCACCCTTAGTAATTTATAAGACTTTGTGTTTTCAATTTGTTTAAATATTTTGTTTGTGTTTTCAATTGAAAAAGAGTCCAAATATTTTGTTGAAAAAAAGTTTTCAACTTGAATATATTTTTTAAATTGAAAAAAATAAACGTATTATTTATCTATATTTTTTTATTTTTAAATCTAACTCTAAAAGTAATAAATAGAAAATATGATATGCTAGTTGATTTTTGTTTTCAAAAACATATATAAATGTAACAATACAGAGACATACAATCTTTACTATTGCTCTGTTCATGGTTTTGGTAGTTTGAATTGTTTTTATATTTTAAGAACCATAGATTATAATACTTTATGTGGACGAGACATGCTGTGATTGTAATATGTAGATGATGCATGCAGTGATTGTGATAATATAAAGTTTCAAACTTTCTTTCTTTGGGTGAGGCATGCAGTAATTGTAATACTTTTTTAAGTCATTAACTTTTAGGAAGTGCACAAGTTGAACTATGTTAAAAATTTATAAAATTTCAAACCGCCAAACCGATTCGTATCCATCTGCCAAACTGCCAATCCGCTCAATCCGCATCCGCCAAATTGGCGGACGGATGCGGATTGATTTTCTTCAATCCGCCAATCTAACGGATGGATAGCGGATTGGAGGTTCCGTGGCCGCAACCGACCCGCGCCCACCCCTAGTTTTCTAAGACTTGCAGGTTACTACAGAAGTTTGTGAAAGATTTTTCAAAAGTTACTATGCCATTGACACAGTTGAAGCAGAAAAATGCACCGTTTGACTGGAACGATCAACGGGAGTCAGCCTTCCAAGATTTGAAAAGTAGACTGGTAACTGCACCAATTCTAACTTTGGCAAATGGAATGGATGGATTTCAAATTTACAATGATGCTTCCTATAAAGGCCTGGGGTGTGCCTTAATGCAAAATAGAAAGGTAATTGCTTATGGCTCTCGGCAACTCCGTCCCCATGAAAAGAATTATCCAACCCATGACCTTGAACTCGCCGCTGTAGTTTTTGCTTTGAGGATTTGGCGACATTATCTGTATGGCATGACTTGTGAAGTGTACAAAGATCATAAAAGCCTCAAATATTTCTTCACCCAAAAAAGAATTGAACATGAGGCAGACAAGATGGCTAGAATTGATCAAGGATTATGATTCGTAGATTTTGAACCATCTAGGGAAAGCAAATACAGTGGCGGATGCCTTGAGCCAAAAATCTATTGGAAATTTATCTTGTTTGCTCACCAGTCAAAGAGAGTTATTATGTGACTTGGAAAGGAAAGAGATTGAAATTGTATTGTGTGAACAGGGCAGGATCTTGGCCGCCATTTCTGCTTAACCTACAATCATTGAAGAGATTAAAGAGAAACAACCGCAAGATGAATTTTTGAAAAAGATTGTGGATGGCATAGACTCAAAATTGAAGCTAGGATTTGTGCTAGAGAACAATGTGCTGAAATTCCAGAATAGACTTGTGTTCCTGATTGTTTAGATTTGAGAAAACGTGTTATGACTGAAGCCCACACCTCTAAATTTTCTATGCATCCAGGGAATACAAAAATGTACCATGACTTGAAACAAAATGTCTGGTGGCCGAGAATAAACAAAAACATTGTAGATTTTGTGGCTCGATGCTTACATTGCCAACAAGTTAAAGCTAAACATCAACAACCTGCTGGATTGCTACAGCTGCTTCCCATACCGGAATGGAAATGGGAACATATCACAATGGACTTCATTGTGGGATTACCTCACTCTTCTCAAGGTATGGACTCTATCTGGATAATTGTTGATTGTTTGACTAAATATGCTTATTTCTTACCTGTCAAATCTTTGTATAATGCGAATAAGTTGGCTAGCTTGTATGTTAATAAGATTGTGAGATTACATGGAGTGCCAGTATCTATTGTATCTGACAGAGATCCTAAGTTCATTTCAAGGTTCTGGCAGAGTCTACAACAAGCTCTGGGGACTGAATTAAGATTAAGCGTGCTTATCACCCATAGACAGATGGCCAATCTGAACGGACCATTCAAACATTGGAAGACTTGTTACGGATGTGTGCTCTAGATTTCCAAGGCAATTGGAAAACCTACTTACCATTAATCGAATTTGTGTATAACAATAGCTACAATTCGAGTATCGGCATGGCTCCTTATGAAGCTTTGTATGGTAAGAAGTGTCGTTCTCAGATTTGTTGGGTCGAGGTAGGTGACAGATCATTGTTGGGACCGGAACTTATACAAGAAACAACTGAAAATGTGAAATTGATTCAACAGAGATTGAAAACTGCACAAAGCCGCCAAAAGAGTTATGCGGACGTTCGAAGAAGAGATCGAGAATATGAAGTCAGGGATCATGTATTCATCAAAGTGCCTCCAATGAAAGGCTAGACACGATTTGGTGTAAAGGGCAAGCTAGCACCGAGGTATGTTGGGCCATATGAGATTTTAGAGAAGATCAATCCAGTGACGTATCGGGTAGCCTTATCGCCAGTCATAGAGCATATGCATAATGTTTTTCACGTATCAATGCTCTGGGATTATTTGAGGGAACCATTCCATGTTATTGAGCCGACACATGTACTTTTGAAAGATGATTATATGTATGAAGAACGGCTGATTCAAATCGTTAACCAAAAAATCAAGAGATTGAGAAACAAGGACATTCCATTAGTGAAAGTTGGTTAGCAGAATCATGGAGGAACTTATGCTACATGGGAAATAGAAGAAGCTATAATGAAGAGATATCCAGATTTGTTTCTATTGAACCCAATATTTTTCCAAAACGAAGGTAATTCGAGTTTAGAGGACCAAACTCTTTAAGGGGGAAAGACTGTAACAACCCCGACCCATGATTAACATATACACTATGATTAAGTATGCCTAATAAAAAATTAAGATGAAATACTGAGTTAATTATATGTTATTGCATTGTTTGTATTTCTATCTGTCTATCGTAGAAAGATCTATTTATGTGTATGTTTTGTCTTGCGAATTGAAGGCCTTATCGACATCCGATTACAAAATTGACTTCAGTTATGTGTTATTTGGAATTGTTAAAATTTTATGATAGGTTTAATTAAAATTCGATTCGGAGCAACTAAATTAGATTAATTAATGTTCTTTTAC